AATGTGATCTGCAGACAACACGATTGTTTATGTAGAAAATCCAGTGGAATCTATGGATGAATAAACTAATTAGTAAATTTTACAAGATTGCAGGACATTATAGATGAATTGCTCCCTTTTTCATTATAAAATGTGCATCTTTGTCTCTTGTTACCTCTTTTGTCTTGAATTTATTTTGTCTGATTATAAGTGTGGCTACACGGACAAATTCTCTGGATGCCTTGCATGGAGTATCATCTTCCACTCTGTCACTTCGAACCTGTTTGTCTGTAGCTGAGTGTCACTTCGAACCTGTTTGTCTTTGTAGCTGAGATGGGCCTCCTGAAGGCAGCATATAGTTGGGTCTTGTTTTTTAATCCATCCAGCTACTGTGTGCCTTTTGATAGGTGATCTCAGTCCATTTACACTTAGGGCAAATATTGATATATAGGACTTAGTATAGCCATTTTATCTTTTCTGATTGCTCAGTACCACCATCGTTTCCTTCCCCTTGGGTTCCTGTCTGCTATTTTAGCTTGGCAGTTTTCTATGCTTTTTTCCTCCATTTTCTCTTTGTTTCGTGTCTCAGCTCTGGATTTTTGTTTTGTGGTTATCATTAGGTTTGTATAAAATGTCTCCTAGATACAACAGTCCTCTTTCTTCTATTTGCATCTTATCTTCATTCACCTGTACAAGTTCAGTCCTTCACCTACTCCTTCTTTATGCTTTTATCACAAATCATCCCTTTTTATGTTGTGCATTCATGACCAAATCGCAGTACTTTTAGTTATTTTTAATACTTTTTCCCCTTTAACCTTTATGAGTTAATTAAGGGTTTAATACCCTATTCTAAAATACAGTTGCAATTTCCTGCTTCCATCTGTCATCTTCCTCTGAGTTTTGTATACTTTTGTCTTTTTGTCTCAGAAGAACTACTTTCAACATTTCTTTAATGCAGGGTTGGTAAATTACCTCAGCTTGTGTTTGCCTGGGAAAGTGTTTTTTTCTCCTTCTAAAGGATAACTTAGGCTGGATATATTATTCTTGGCTGGTGGTTTTCAATATTTTGAATATATCGTTCCATTCTCTCCTGGCTTGTAGGGTTTCTGCTGAAAATTCTGATGATAATCTGATGGGGTTTCCTTTGTAGGTTATTGTCTTTTTCTCCTGGCTGCCTTGAGAATTCTTTTTTTGTCTTTAAATTTGGAAAGTTTTAATATAACGTGTCTTGGAGAAGGTGTTTTTGCGTCATGCTAGTTTAGATGTTCTGTTAGCTTCTTATGTTCAAATCTCCAGCTCCTTCCATAGGTTTGGGAAGTTCACATTGATTATTTCTTTGAATAAGCTCTCTGTTCCCTCCTCCCTCTCTTCTCCTGAGATACTCATTGTCCTGTGTTGCTCTTTCTAATGGAGTCAGATAGTTCTCGTTGAGTTCTTTCAATTTTAAAAATGCTAGTTCTCTCTTTTCTTCCACCTAAATCGTTTCTAGATTTCTGTCTTGGAGCTCGCCAATTCCCTCTTCCATGTGGGCCGCTCTATTTCCAACGCATTCCGATGCATTCTTCACCTCATCTGTTGCGTTCTTCAGCTCTGGAATTTGTTTGGTTCTCTTGTATAGTTTCAATATCTTTGGTAAAGTACTTCTCCTGTTCACTAATTTTATCCTGAGCTCATTGACTTTCTGACTTTTCTTGTATGTCGTTGAGTTTCTTCATAACTGTAATCTCGAGTTGTCTGTCATTTAAATCACAGTGTTCCATGACTTTGAGTTTGGTTTCCGGAGACTTTTCATTTTATTTCTGTGCTACCGTGTGACCTTGGTTATTCGTGGTACTAGAATTGTTTGTCTGCCTGCGCGCTGGAGGCAGTGAACCTTTTTCCTGTTTACTGTGTTGCTCTTAATTAGGCAGGCTGGGAAGCAGAGGTCTTTCTTTTATCTTCCAGTAGATGGTGCTATAGCGGAGGTTTGTTTGTTTGTTTGTTTTCTCTTCCTCGTGCTACTTGCGCCTCCGGGACAGTGGTGGGGTGGCGTCCCCTCTGTGGTAGAAATGGCCACATACCCACCCCGATGGTGGCTGTGCCCTCTGTACCCCGGTCTCCTGGGTCTTGGGGCACCGCCACCAGGCTGAGGGGGCGTAGTGGGGTGGGGACCCGGGTTCGTGACTCCCTGCACTGCCTCCGGTTACTAACGGCCTCCAGCCCCTCCGTGCTGCTGCACGCATCTCGGCATCTCGGCATCTCGGCATCTCCGCATCTCGGCATCTCTGCATCTCGGCATCTCCGCCGCCTCTACCGGGCTCTGCCCCCGTGGGTGGGGGAAGGGAGGCAGGTCCCCAAATCCACAGCGCTGCCTCCTCGTTTAGTAGTGGCTGCTGGCACCGCCGTGCTGTTTAACGCGTCTCAGCTGCTGCTACCGGTTCCGCCGCGACGCGGGCTGCGGGGAGCCAGCTTGCCAGGCAGGGGTGGCGCGTCTGCCCCTCTCAGCACCCAGGCGACAGGGCGAGGGCTGCAGCCCGACTCCTCCCCCGCTGCCGCCGC